AATCCCCTTCCTCCGTCGTTCTCACTCTCTCTCGATCCCCTTCTCTTCGTGCCAAATCAAAAAAATCATAGACGATCCAGTGAATTCTGATAGTGAATCACTCGGAATTCGTCTAAGAACTGGTCAATTGCGGTGTCTCATCAACTCCACCGAGTGTTGAATGAATCCGATTCAATCGGATTTATAGAGCGAGAGACTCTCTGAAATCGGCCAATATGGTAAGATTTAAGTGAATTTGTAGAGATTTCACGGAATCGACAATAGGAATTTCATTTAAGGTTTTTGCATGTGAATGAAATTGGGGATTTTTTATGAAATCGAAATTAGGGTTCTTCAGTCTTGTAATTGAAATTAGGGTTCTTCAGTTTTCAGCTTCAATTTGTCATAGATATCATTCATTTGGTTGTTCATCTTCTTTTCGGATTCAACTTTCCTCTTTCTTTCTTTTAGTGATATGATTAGATTTATATTGAATCTTGTTATCATCTTTGTCAATTGATTACGAGTGTTAACTTTAGTTTCGTTTGTTGAGATTTTAAAGGAATTTATCTCTGATTGTATGTGGGTTTTGTTAATTTTTTGTCAGCTACTGGAAAGAAATGTTTGAAGAGAGGCGTAAAAGAAGTGGTCAAGAACATAAGAAGAGGCCAAAAAGGGTTAGTTTTCTTTGTGTGTTGAATGTTACATGTGATTGATTGTGTTGCTATATGCTTAGTTTTTGTTTAATCCGTGTACAACTAAGCAGATGCTCTGATATCTCCTTGATGAGAGGGCCTGGTTTAGATCCACATCATTTGTCTTTGTTTAATGTTATGATAAATAGTTTAAAAATAGAATAATGTAGCATGGTACTGTCAGAAACTGAATTACGGGTTTGAAATGTTTGTGCCCTTTGTGAGTGACTGATTGGTTTAAACACACATTCTCTTAGTCTTGTTTTCCATTAAGTCGGATACTTTTGTTGTTGATGCTAGTATTTGATTTGTGTTCTGAATCAACCTTCATGTCTTACATGTGTTGTTTCTCTAATCTTCTTTACTTCAAATTCTCTGCAAGGTAAAAAGGAAGATTCGTTAAGGCGGGTCAGAAGCTAGAATGGAATCTCAAAATTGTCTTGGGGCCGTCCAATAATAAGGTACCAATATTCTTTGTCCTCTTTGTTTCTTTTAGTGAACAACACTACATGTTTTGGTGTGTATTGAATAAATCATTGCATCTAGTTTGTATTCTGTTATTTTTTTGTTGGAATTTCAATTGTAAAACAAACAAAGAAATTATGATATTGTTGGTAGATGATGTGTGTTGGTAGATGATATGTGTTTCATTTATGGCTAAAACTGGTTAGATTTAAATTAGGTACAACCTGTAGTATTTATATTATATGATAAATGCTTGGTTACTGTTGATTAGGACTGGTTTTAGATTCTTTACAGCTTGCAGTTTGTTGTTGTAACTCTATACAGTTTTATGATAAATGCTTGTTAGGTGTTGATGACTGTTAGGGGTAGTGAATGCTTGTTGTATTTAATTCCTTGGTAAAAAAACTGAGCAGAACCTGTAATGTCAAACTTAAACACGAAGCATATTTCAATATGTTGAGTGCTTACTGTGTAGGGTCTCTA